AACTGTTCTATTATTTTGCTATTATGTTACTATTATATTACTTATATTGACAAACCTTCTGTTATTTTACTATTATTTTGCTATTATGCTATTGTTATGCTGCCATTATTTGGCAGATATAGGATAGATAATGGCAGTTTTTTTTTGTTATTTATCTATTATTTACCTTTTATTCATTTGTTCAACCTATGAAAGTTTATTAAAACTTTAATATCTATCTTTCTAGCATCATTTTTATTATTCTTTATTAGCTGCAACTTGGAGCCAGCAGTCTCTAACCAAACTACTAATCTAAATAATTTGGTATAGTATATTTCTGTATTCTTTTCTTCTGATGAATCTGGTGGTCTAGTTGGTTATATACTCTTCTATATATATTTGATGTTTAGTTTAATAATCTGTTCTTATAAAAATATTTTGTAAACTTCAACTAATTCAATAGTACTATTGAAAGTTCAAACTATCTCTTTACTTAAGAATTTTTAAGTAGGTTTCTGTCATCTTGATTTCTTAGTTTTTTAGACTTAGTAATCTTATTGTAGGTTTGTACTAAAGTTTTATATAATACCAATTATATATTCCTTTATATATATATAATATTATACTTTATATAGATGTTTCAAGCTCCTAATATTAAAAAAATCTAAATTGATATACCTAGGTTACAGTTATATAAGACCAACTAATTAACAAAAAACAGTTATCATAATGCAGATATAATTTTCAAATTTTATTATAGCTAGAATTTGAATCTTAGACCTGTTATTTAGAGGATGACAACCCAACCACTATACTAAAACATCTTTTTTTTTTTATCATTTATTCTTATACATCTGTTTTATTTTTTATATAAAATTTTTTATTATTTATTATTTTTTTATAAAAAAATAACATCTGATTGATAATATCTTATTATAAAATAGCAGTCTATTTTTAATTAAATTAGTATAACAAAGCATACTTAGGTACTATTTAAATAATTAGAAATATTAAACTTAGTCTTGTATATTAAGAAATTCTATATAATTTGTATAGTTTTAAGAATTCTAATAAAATACTAATATAATTACTAAAATTAAAAAAAATAACAATTATAGTATCTCATAAAAATTTTACATATTCTTGTCTCTGCAGTCAATCTGATCAACTTCATTCATATACTGGAATCTGTTCACTTGTTAGACAGGCCTTTAGAAAAATTAGTACTTGGGTCACTTTGTGGGTCAAGTATCATAAACCTCTAATTTTATTTTAACTATAAATGATATTATCTAGGTAAGTTTTTGACTACTCTAGTAGGTTTAAGTCGCAGATAAATTAGATTTATTTAATTGTTTGAGCTTTTATTCTTGCATATAATTTTTCTTTTATTTGTACTAGTACAAATAGTAGAAATATATGTATTATACATATGTTACTATTTTATAAATTACTTAATAAAAATATAAGCAAGACTTTACCTTAAAAAAAAAAAAAAAAAAAAAAAAAAAAAAAAAAAAACAATTATAGTATAAAGTATAACAACTTAGTAAAGTGAATAAGTTATCTATCTTCTAATTTGTAGATTATGAATTCAAAACTTATTAATAGTAAAAATTTGGATAAATATCTATATAATGCATAGACAGTATTATGATAATAACATTCTGTTAATCAGTTAAGATAAGATACTTGTAACTATAGTCATATCAGCATGACTGGTAAGTTACAAAGTATCTGTATAATCTTGATTATATAGATAAATGCAAATCAATATTGAGCAGTACAAATCTAAAATAAGTTCTTATGACTGTATAAATCTATAGAACTGAAAAACCAGAACCTACTTAGAAATACTGAGTAAAGAGATAATACAGATTTTTAATAGTACTATTGTAAAAACTAAATCTAGAAAACAGATACCAATATAAAAAAATTAGAAGAACAAAAATCTTAAGTAAGAGGTATCACCAACCAGGTCACCAGATTTTAGACTAAAGAAAAAAAATATTAGACCAACCTTAATATATCAAGGACAGGTCACAATTCTTTTAGGCTATCTGAATTAGAAATGATTCTATTCTGACAACTTGAATAAGATATCTAAAAATATAATTTTGTAATTTTAATTATACTAAGACTAATTTTAGAAATACATATATAATATTATATAAATAAATTTAAAAAGTATATAAGTTTTGTTTAAAAATTCCAAATAGAAAAATAGTATGATCTTTAACAATATTACTTATAAAAATTTTGATTTGAAAAATAAAATTTGAAAAAGATAACCTGTATGAATAAGAATTTTTAACTAAAAATGATTTATTAACTTGACTTTCAGTTGATCTGAACATGAAATTATATTATATAAAACTTACTAAATTGGTAATATAAAAAAACTTATAAGAATAGATAAGACATTAATAAGATTGTAAAAAAGAAATTAAAATTATATAAACTCTACAAGAATATAGCAGTTTAATAATTAATTCTAATTGCAAGTATTAATTCAATTATAATAATTCTAGATTAACTATAAATAAGAATATAAAAAACTTCAAAAGGTTTACTTCAAGGATAAATTAATTTTAAAATGAAGATAAAGATTCAAGCATGACTTAGTAAAATTGATACAAGTTATAAATTCAGAGAGTTTAAATAAAATATTTAAATAAAGATGTTAGATATAACAGCTAATGAAAAACTCTTAAGCAGACTTCTTATAAAAAAATTATGTATATAACCAGTTATATACTTTTTTTCAATAGTTTTTATAAAACTATGTTATCCAAAAAGTATTAATAAAGCCAAAAGATCAAAAAGATCAAAAAATAAATAAATAAATAAAAAAGAATTAAAATGGATTAAGCAAATATGTTATAGAACAACATGAAAACTTTATATTTACTTAGAATACAAGATGAGATAATTTACTCGAGCTTTTAAATAAGTTTTATAAAATGTATAAAAAATTTTTTTATCAGTTAAAGGATTAACATTCCTATAGTCAGTGTTGTCAATGGACAGGTGTGAACAGATGTGTGGACAGACATGTGAACAAATGTGTAGACACTATACGAACATGTTGCACAAAAAAGAAATGTTAATAGCTCAAAAGTTTATTATAACAACTTGATTTTGTACATTAAGTAAAAATGTTTATCATTAAATTTTATATATAATTATATATTTTTAATAATATATATTAAACAATGAGATGCATAAACATCATGGACATCTGTGGACATGAACGTGAACATGGACTGGACATGAACATGGACAGCCAAAAAAAATCTATGGACATAGTAAATGTGACAACACTGCCTATAGTAGTTATAAGTTCAATTCAGTGTTCTTTTAATTAGTAAAAAATCCTATTGGCTGGTTAAATTTTACGATTCTAACTAATCAAGTTATTAATTGAAAGTGCTTAGAATATGTAATCTACAAAACTATTGAGCTCATTTAGATTCCATACAAATTTAGTTTACAACAAAAATAAATGGTTTGCATCATCAAATTTTTTTTGGTGGCCGAATTTCTATATTTGTCTTCAACTACATTTTTTTGCAAAAAAACTTGTGGCCAGGGACTGAAAAATGTAAATCGATATTTTTAAGCCAAATCGATATTTTTAATGCGGTGTAAGTTTCGGAAACGTAGACAATCAACAAACAGAAAAACATGTTTGCCATTACTGATCACGTTATATCGTGTTACACCAAATTGTATATCCTGATTGGCCAATATTGATAAATCGATATTTTTGACTATATCGATAAATATTTTTGCCAAATTTTTTTACTGTCCCTGCTTGTGGCTAAACTACGGAGTGACTCCAAGAAGTTTCATAATTCATGTAATTGGTATCGGAAAGCACCGGGATGTGTAGGTACACGAGTAATAACATATAAAAAACAGCCACGTTAGCGACTCATTTTACGAAACTGTATCGCTAGTATTATTTTTCTAATTATCGCTATGTCGGAACCAACTAAAAGTCAAATTGATGATGTCTTTAAAAAGCTCACTTCACAACGAGCGAATAAAGTATATTTCATTTGTGCTTTTTTATAAAGTTCAAGCCTTCCATCAGACTCATTTTTGAAAATTTGATCTTTGTAGATGTGCTTTGATTGTAAAGCTAAAAATCCCTCTTGGTCCAGTGTTACCTTTGGCATATATCTTTGCTTGGATTGCTCGTCCGTACATAGGAATCTCGGAGTCCACATCAGTTTTGTGAGGTAGATCTATTTTAATTATTACCTTTTAACTTAACGGGATTTAACTTCTTTTTTTTTATGAAGATCTATATCACTGGATGCTTGGACGTGGGAACAATTACGAATTATGAAAGTGGGTGGTAATTCTGCAGCATTAGAATATTTCACAAAACACGGTGGTAGCACTTCCTTAAATAGCAAAGATGCAAAGCTAAAATATACGTCTCGTATGGCCTTAAAATATAAAGAGGAACTTATTAAAAGGGCTAATGAAGATTCTAAAAAGTATATTTAATTTTCTTTGCATTTATCACATTTTGAAATAGTAGTTAACTTAATCATTTTGAAGAAATCCCGATTTCGAGATTATCGAAGAAGAACCACAAACTTCAACCAAATCAGAAGACTTTTTCGATACATTTGACAAAGAAGTTGTAGAAAAGCCTTTACCAACGGAAGAAATAACCGTAACTGCGGCCACAAACAAGTCTTCTAGTCCCAATAATCATAAGGTGATAAAATCAGCATCCACAGCAAGGTCGAACATTACTGCTCGTGGAAAAGGACAAAAGAAATCAAAAGTTGGGTTAGGAGCTGTAAAACTTCAAAAGGTTGATATTGAAACAGTAGAACAACAAGCCAAAGAGGAAGAAGAATTAGTTAAACAGCAATTACAGGATGAAGAATCTAATTTACAAAAACCGGTAGAACGATGGTCATTCAGTTCTCGTTTAGTATATAATGATGGATCGCAATCATCTGGAGGAAATCAGGAAATAAATAGCAAACGACATAGTGATGATATTGAAAGACTTGGTATGGGAGTTTCGAGATTGGGATTCGGAAGTGTTAATGGACCTACAACCAAAGTTGAAGAAACGATCACTTCGCGCTATATTGGATTTGGATCAACTAATAGTGCAAATAATTTAAGTAAATCAGATAATGGTATTTAATAAAATTTTTTAGACATGATATATGGGGGAAGTCAATAGAAAAGGGACAAATTTTTTCTAAGTAAAAGTTTTCTCAACTTTGAACTTAAATATCTCAATAACTATTTGATCAAATTTAGTAAAAATTTTTTATTTTAATTTTATATAATTCTAAAATTAAAATAAAATCAATTTTATTAAATTAAGATATCTCTAATCAAATTTAAAAATTAAAAAAATTTTACTAAAAATGATTTGTCCCTTTTCTATTGACTCACCCCCATATATATTTGTTTAGCATGATATAATTAGTTTTTGGAATCCTTTTCAACAAATTAATTAGATGACCTTTCCGGTACCGATTACGCACGCCAGAAATTTGGCAACCAAAAGTCAATTTCTTCTGATCAATATTTTGGTCGCAATCAGTATGATCCTGATACTATGTCAGAAGCATCCGATCGATTGAGGCAATTCGAGGGGGCAACATCTATATCTTCTAATCAATACTTTGGACGAGAGGAAGAACTCTCACGGCGTGAAAATTTAGATATTGGTGGATTGGAGACGAACGCACGTGATTTTGCACGAAAGTTTATTGGACAAGCGGCATCAGATTATGAAGCAATCAAAGCAGTTGTTGAAAGGGGAGGAGAAAAATTAAAGGATTATATTACGGACATACAGGTAAGAAGTAAATAGCAGATCTTTCACCCAATTTAAGTTTGTGAATTTTAAATATTTACTATTCGTTTGAATTTTAGCAACGTGTAAATTACTGACATCACTGGTATTATTCATTTACTAAGTCGAAGAGAGGGCTTTTTAACCAATTCTATCTATAATATCTAATATTGATACGCGATTTTTGATTCTTTACTAAAAAAATGGATTATACCTTGACTATATTAGAGCTATATGTTTTACCCTGTATTTTTGCTGACACCAAATAAACGTTGTGTAAAAAATATAATATTATTAAAAGAGAGTCATTAAACAAAAATATGTTAAACTAATGAGGATAGGCAATTACATTAGTGAAGTTACGTCTCTATAAAGCAAAATTTACTTTAATAATGAACTCTATTACTTTTCTTATTGATGATCATAGGTTATGTTTGAAGTCTAATTCTGATTGGTTAAAAGGTATTAAAATATTAATTAATTCATCTTTTAAGTCATTTAGACTTTTAAATGACCCAATTTTAACAATGTAATAAATCTAAATAGTATGCATTTTTGAAAATTAATTTCTGAAAGATCAATTTAAAACTGAAAACTTTCACCTGTTCTTTATTAATTATAGGTGAAGAACATTTGATTTTATAAAAAATAATAAATTTTTAGAATGTAGTTATAAAATACATAGTAAGAGTTAAAACTTTTATAGCTAGAAAATGAAAACAATTGACATAATCATATCAAATACTTTTACAAATAGTTTAAATAAGAAAGTTAAAAAACAAAATTTTGAATATAAAAATGAATAAATTTTTTAACAATAAGACAGGCAACAAAGAAAATTTAGAATATATCAAAGTTTTTAAATCAAGATCAAAAAGGAAGATAACAGATCAAAATATAAAGATCTTAATACTGTATTCAAATTTAAAGATATAAAATTTAAAAATAAAAATAAAGAAAATACAAAGTTTATACAAAAAAAAATATTTTGATTATTTCATCTGATATAACTTATCAGATACATCAAAACAAATAAAACATATAGGTAGTACCTGCTATGTAGAGGAATATTAACCAAAACAAATTGATCACTTGATCAATTTAATCTTGAAACAAATCAAATAATTGAATATAAAACAGATCACACTAAAGTCCAATCAAATCTCAAGAATATATTTACAAAATCTAGACAATAATCTGATCTTTTTATAAAACTCAAAAGAGAAAAAACAATATATTTAATTTTTTTTTCAGAAAGAAACTTTATACTAAAAATGAAAATACACTAATCTTTAAAATCTATAACTTAAAAAATATTCCTATTTTTGATATTATTGAAGTTATATAAAAGAATATTGATAAAGATCTAATTATAATCAAATCAATGCCCTCATCATACAAAGCTAAGCTTTTCTCAATTATTACTGCAATCTCAACAGCTTCATGCAATTCAGTAGTTAATATTTTCACTGATTCTCAATTAATAATTTCTAAATTTAACAACCTTCAACTTCACTTAAATCACCTTAATAAACTACTCAAATTCAGATCATGATCTATTTGGCATACTCTTTCTAACATTATTAAATCATACAAATTACAAATTATCTTTCACAAAATGCAAACTCACTCAGATAATAATCTTAATGAGCAAGCAGACTCTCTTGCTAAACAATATTCATCATCATTACTTCTTTCATTTAATTATACAAACCTTTACAATCCTCATCATATTCTTTAATGAAAGCAACATTATGTAGAACTTCCTACAAGATATTTTATTAAGCAAATATATAAAGCCCATATACTAGCTATATGGGCATCACAAAAACGTAATAGTAAGTAGTTATATTTCAATCAGGATATTGGCTAGAGATCTACCTGGCTTTATTTTAATCATAATCAAAAACTTTCACACAATATTACTAATTTTAGACTTAATCAACTAAAATCCTTTAAAATCAAAACTTTTCTTAACGAGTTACTAATATATTAACTATTTTACACTATTTACTCAAACCAATATCCAGATACTAATTGCTTTCACTGTAACCTAACCAACTCTCATTCTCACTGGCATACTTGCACTAATACACTTTTGCTTAATCAAATTATTCAAACATCTACTAATCAAATTATCTTCAATGAACTCTCACTGATAATCACTTGTACTGAATTTTTTACAAACAACGAGCAGAAATTTGTTAGAAAGAAAAGAAAAGGCTTCTAGTTTAGAACGATTTTTACAAAGGTCAACTTTTTGTTTTCCTAGGGACTCCTTTGTATATTTAACATGCAAGCCAAAAGTGTTTCTGTATAAGATAACTGGCAGGAGAAGAAAGCCCTTATACAAAAATTTTGGTAAAAGAAATTTTGTTAACAAAGTTCACTAGAAGACTTAAAAAAGAGTACAACAAATGAGCCACCAATACTTTCCTTAAAAAATTCAAGAGTACCTACCTATCGAAGTCTCTTTATCACTCCTCTCTTGTACTTTTCGAAAATTTTTAATAAAAGTAGAAAAAACGGTATACCCCCATTGAAAGATCGCCAAGTAGCACTGCCAAAAAAGGAAATACAGGAGTGTTTCCATTTTAGTAAATAAGT